ACATAATCCTTAAAAGCTGCCTCATATGCATTGATTACCACATGATTTGCTTTATCACCTATACAATGTGTATTAACTTGGATACCCTAAATTATTTACAAAAGGTGATCTTAAAAAGATTTAAATAAATTTGGATGTCACAAAAACTAATGAATCTTGGGTACCTTATCCATCCATTTTCTGATTTCGGATGGTAATAAAGTTGGATCAGACAATAGAAGTCCATGTTTCGTTTGATCATCTTTAGAGTTGAGAAATACTTGGTATTATACGCAAGTTTAAAGTTTCCTTCAATCTGCAAGAATGTAAGCTTACCAGAATAAGGTTCCAACATTGCTGATTTTGCACGAATCATCAAAAATACATAAAACATAATAAATGTGTTGAACAATCTCGGATAGAATAAATATTAATTAAACCCACCTGCTCCCCAACTTCCCAAAGCACCATCCATAAATAGCTTAACGCTTCTAACAGTCAATCTTCCATCACCTAATCCTTCAACTATCTCAATACCATCAATATAATTATTATTTGGTACTTCAACCATTGCGTAATATCGGATATTAAAATCTTCCGACTGTTCATTAATAATCCTAGAAATGCGAATAAATTAACAATAGATATATATTTTTTTAAAGAAGAATATATACAACATACCTTTTGTAAAATTTAAGTTTATCGAGCGAGACACTTGCATCATGTACTCCAATTAATCCAAAAGAATGCATTCTATAAATCGCTAATCGTAATTGCTGTAATAATGTTTGTTCACTTGGAGAAGGCATAATTTTCGCTAAAAAAAACGACAAAATTTATAAAATTAAATTATCTTTTTTTGCTAATTTTTCTCCTCGAATCGTTAATTAGATATTTTACTGATTAGTTGCATAGCGTTATCAACGAAAATCCCAGTTAATTCGCCAGTTTCTTTATCTTTTCCAATTTCACCACCATCAACAGTCTTTTCTTCTATTTTAACTAATATATTCTTATTTACTAACATAACGTGTCCATCAATACGTGACAATGAGATTGAAAATTTCTTGAGAAATGGATCACAATCTATATCGTTCTATTTATTATTTGATAAGTTTAAAATAATGATTTTTTATGTAAAGAAATAATGATGAGGAGTTAATAAATGCGCTCACACAAGTTGGAAATGATTTTGATGTCCATAGTGTTTGATCCCATCCCCATCCTACGATCCATTCCGTGGTAGGATCGATCCTAGGATGTGAACCTATATATTCACGAATTCTTTCACGTATCTCTGTCAAAAAAAATATTTTTATTATTCAAGATTGGTCATCACGTGATTTTCAATACAAAGAAAAACAATCACCTTCAACGGATTTTGATCCTATGAGATTCACTGATAGTAAAGAATCTCCTAGATATTGCAAGTGCTGTAAAACGAACTTTATGTAAATTTGATTACAAACTTTATAGAGAAAATAATCCAATCATTAGATACCCCGTGCGCATCAATTAATCCAGGTAATATGGTAAGACCTTTTAAATCGATACTCTAAAATTAACCATGTCAATATTATATATAATATAATAAAAGATAAATTATAAATGCTATATGGACATACTTTAAATATTTTCCATTTTTTCATTAAATCAATTTTATTACCAATATCTATAAACCTTCCATTCATTACTACAAATGATTCGATTTTTGGTAAATCATTATCAGAAGTATAAATATTTGCATTATGGATTATGTAACCATTTGGTGGTTCACTGAAAAAAAAAAAAAAAAAAAGGAAAGGATTTAAAACTTGGAAAATTAAATTTTATAAAAAATACATAATTACTTACCTTGAGCAATTCATCATGATAAAGTTCTATTAAATTTTTTTTTGAAGAACTTGTAAATAACTGGCATTTTGTGTAACGTATAAATGATTCCAAAAACAGGTTTTTGCTACATACATTCTAAATCGAAAATTAAGCTACACTATTCAATTGTTTTAAGCTTTCTGAGCTTAACTTGATAGAGATTTTTGATCGGTTCGAATTTAGTCTTTTTATCGATCCTATTAGAACGCATAATTGCTTTTTTATATCTTCGTTTCCGAGTTTCGATGGTTACCATTTTTTAAGTATAAAATTGAATTCCTGCCTATTATAGTAATTGGTATAACGTGATCCAAATTTAAACGTGGAAATTTACTTATTTTATTTACCAATTTACTGCGCATATTTACTACGCCAAACCGCCTTATATAGTAATATATATGGCCAGTTATCTTTTCACAGATTTCCGAATTTTTGTTTTTTAATTAAAATGGAGAAAACGGTAGAATTAAACGTAAATCATTTAATGAACTTAAAGGCGGCTCGTAATTTATACGAGAATTCACAACCTATTACAGCTTGCGATTTCGATCAGACTGGAGAATACTGTGTAACTGCTTCAGCTGATGAATCGATTAACTTGTATAATTGCGTCCAAGGAAGGTAAATAAATATTGTTCTATCCAACGGCAATATTTGCCTAGTTATATTATTATTATTTTTATTATTATTATTTCAATTAATAAAGATCAAACCTGATATACGAATATTTGAGTTTGATCGTACGGAAAATTTCCCTCGTCATTTGTTATATGATCAAAGATGAATTGAAATCATCAATCATTAGACTAACTAATTCTCTAATTATTATTATTATTATTTTGATCACAGGCATAAGAAATTGATTCTTAGTAAAAAGTATGGAGTGCATCTAACGCGGTTCACTCATCGACATACAGATATTATATACGCGTCAACCAAAGAGAATGGTAACTGGTTCGTCATTCTTCCAATCTATAATTGCTTTAATGATCATTGGACGTGATAATTGATACTAACTTTTATATATGATTCGCTTAAATAGATACGTTGAGATATTTGTCACTACACGATAATCAGTTCATAAGATATTTTGAGGGTCACCAGAAAAGGTATTCTGATGATATCGCGTTAATGTTGATAAATACTTGATAAATAATAACAGTAAGAACATTTCTTTCTTTTTTTTTTAGGGTGGTAAGTTTGGAGATGTCACCTGTGAGTGATCAATTCGCTTCGGGTGCTGTAAATGAAGGAGTTCGGTTATGGGATTTACGTACGCCCACTTTTTTGGTGTGTAATTACTCATTATATATCACTATGAAATTTCTTTTATTTAAAATTTTGTATTTCTTCACTTGTAGGGATTTATTAATATTGAAAATGGAAGACCTTGTATCGCTTATGATCCGTCAGGTATCGTACTAGCAATTGGACTTCAGAGCCATGATAATGTTATAAAGTTATTTGATATAAGAAAGTTTGATCAGGTAAAATCATAAAAAAAATTTTACTTTATAAATATATTTTATTAATAATATAAACTTGTTTTTCCTTATAGGCGCCGTTTACCACGTTGAATGTGATAGATAATTATGCGTTACCTTCCTCACATCCGCGCCCTCCGACACAACCTGAATGGACATCTATTAAATTCAGTAATGATGGCGACAAAATTCTTGTCACAACTTCGGGAGATGTTCATTACGTAACGGATGCATATAATACCGACATGAAAAGGCGATTAATTGGTCATGTTGGATTAAATAATGCATCACAATTATTAGGAGGAGAAGAAACAAGTTGGACTCCTGATGGTCGTTTTGTAGTTGGAGGTAATCTATGATACGAGTGATGATCTTATACCTTAATTATTAAGTATATTTGTGTACAAATTGAATTTTTCTCCTTTAGGATCACAAGATGGAGTGATAAATTTTTGGGATGTAGAAGCACCTCTAAAGAATTCAGCTGTGCTTGCGGAAGGGATAGATTCTCGACCAATACATACACTAGAGTATCATGTTAGACCAACGCAAGTTGTTAGATTTAGTCCTACAAAATTGATGATGGTTAGCGGTTGTACAGATTTGGTGAGTCATAATATAATTTTACATGTCATTTTTCTCTCTTAATCGATCAATGTTCCCCACATTTTAGGTTTTATGAGTTTAAACTTGTGGTTTATAACGATCGAAGAATAATTAAAGTGATCTAATACAAGTTGTTCTCGAATTGCTTGTTGAGGTTGCTTTTAGATCTAATTTTTCCACTCCGGGTTTCATGTTTATTAAAAATTTTGTTATCCGGATAATTACGATCAACATACTTTTTTTATCTATTACAAGTAAATTTTACCAACATACTTCTTGCTATTTATTTATATACCTTTCAAGACGTTTTGGCTACCATCATTTGACACTTTGGAAGAAGAAAAAGGATTTAAGTCAGATGAACTGACACCACCCATATTTAGTAATGACAGTACAATGACAATGGATGTCAATTATGGTCAATCCACAATTAAAGGTAGTGAGGTTGGTTTTGAAAACGTTGTCGGCACTTTAAAAGTTCCTGAATTTGGTGGTGGTAATAACCATGATGATAATAATGGAGAAGGAAATGGGAACGGATCATTATCGTATGCACCATCGCCTCCATCAGCTGCACCGTCAACAACAACAATCAGTGGAGAAAGTGACAATAGTATTGGTGAAGCTACAAGTTCTTCTGCCATTCCTATAACTGAAGTTCCTCAGATTGTCATTAATAAAAATGAAACTGACAATCAACAGAAATCAGAAGCACCAGGTCCTTTATCTGAAGGGGGAGGGACTGATCCCATGAAAACCGATTGATTTTTAAAATGGTTTTTTTTTATTATAATGTGAATTACGTTCAAATATCTGTAACTCGTTTAAAAAATTATAACATTTTTATAATTTTTTTTTTTTTTTTTACATTTTCAACGAAAAAAAAAAATTTATTTTTCCCAAAAATTTAATAATATTATATAGATATATGAATCTGAATTTTTTAATGTTCTTTCGGTTGTTTAATTTGTACCCAGTATATAAATTTCTCATTAACGTGAAATATATTGATTAAACTATATTGATATATTTTAAAGGAAATACGGTAATAAACTCTTAATCTTGAGCATCCACGTGTTGATGCCTTCTTAAGAAAGCTTCTCTCAAAATTGCATTAATGGACTGGTAACCGGTCACCTCTGAAGAACCTTCATTAATATACTCACCATTCTGAAACCGATAATGAAGGTCATGACTCAATCCTTGATCAATAGAACCAACATTCTCAATTGCGGATGAAGAAGTTTCCTGTCTTCTTCCATGATGATTTGCACACGCAACTCTCTCGTCAATTTCCATGCATCCAAGATCATCTTGCAATTCATTCACAATATGCGAAGTTCGCGTCAAATTAGCGAGATACAAAACCGAATTGATGTTCATATAAGGATTTAAAAGTTCAGTAGAGGAGGATGATGATGCATCGGATCTTGTCGAGATTCTGATTGGGTTACGATGAAGTTTATGGATATTTGGATTTAATAAAGACGTACCACCTAAAGATGATTGTTGCTGTTGTTGTTGTTGATGAATGTGATGATATGAAGTTGTAAATTCGGTGGTATCCGCATAGGTTGAGTGAGATGATGGCGTTCTTGGTGATGATTCTGAACTTGAGTTAAAGAGTTCGGACGGAACCACTCTGTTTACATTACATGAACCAATGAATCAACTTTAAATTTAACATCAAGGTATAATAATATCATACATAGTTTTAATGTTCAGTGAAAAAAAGGTTCATTTTTCGCTTTCATCAAAAAAACTTAATTAAACCAACCTCAAGTTTTCATGGTCCAAATCTAACCGCATTCTCTTCAAGTCTACTTTTCCAGCCTTTTCCTTGTAATTATTCCTGCCATCCATCATAACACCACCAAAACCTTCAACACTTTCGTTATTATCACTTTCTTCGTCTGGAACGCGTGTTCTCTTCTTCGATTCAAGCAACATTATAAAGGTGAAGCTTAAATGGTTTTAAATGGATAAGTGATGCTGCGGTTCGTACTATTAAATATTTAAGGTCCGCTCGAAAAGGTAAACTCGTGATAAGAACTTGTTTGGGGCTAATCAAAGAGGTTGTAAAGTGACATTTCGGTCGTGTTTGTAATAATATTCTACTTGTGATAAATGAAATTTATATTTTTTTCCAGGTAGAAACTGGGTAGAAAAGAAATTTTTTTCAAAGTATATTTTTTTTTTTTTAGCGCGTCACTGATTCGCGAAAAGCATAATAACGTAATTACGATGATTCAATCCTTGTCATGAAGTTACGCAATTCTCGGAGTTCGGGATTTTCGGGATTTTCGGAGAATCAAGTGATAGCCGCAGTTTCACACCAAAAAAAAAAAAAAAAAAATTATAAATACTCCCGATGAACGCAAAATTTTTTATATAAACTTTCGAGATATTATAAATCAGATATAATAGAATTAGAATAGAATAATATTTATAGAAATACATAGATTAGAAATTTAATTTAATTTAACTTTTAATTTCAAATTTTTTTTTTTTTCCTTAAAGAAAAGATGACATCGAAAAGAGTTTTGGTAAGCTCGATTTCTTCTTGTTTATGATCTGATTTGATTTTATTTTTCTTTTCAACTTAAATGAATTTGCTGCGGATCGTTGTCATGTCCAGTTGGTTGGCTTGGGAAACCACACACACCCTCAAACATGGCATAGCATAGGGATGCTTCTTTTAGATCATATAGCATCACAGTTAAATATCACTTGGACAAAAAATAAATCGATTCACGCATACATCACACAACCAACTACGATTTACGTCGACCCTACTTCTTTATCAGGGTCATCATCATCTAAACAATGTAAACTGCACAAGAAAAAGAAAGCAAAAAAGAAAGAATGGGATTTTGGTAGCGAATCAGATGAAGACATCAAGGCAACCATCAATACTACCGTTCAAGATGATGTGTTTAATAATTCAAATCTCCTTTCAATGACCGATTCATCATTACTGCCCGAGTCATCAAAACATCCATCTCCATTATCCCCACCATCATCGGGATTGTCAGACGTTACATCCTCACCTAAACTTCAACCAAAAAAATCCAAACCAAAACCTGATCTTGTTCCTATTGAATTGACTCTATTGAAACCTATGTTCTTAATGAATGTTAGTGGGAAATCGGTCTCGAAAGCAGGTTTGTTTGACATACCTAAGAATGTTCATTTTACTTTGTTTGTTAAATAATGAACTTATAATAAATAAATCATCTAATTGTCAAAATAGCACGAGAGCTTCAATTCTCGCATTCGAATATGATAATCATTCATGATGATATGCAACGCGAACTCGGTAAATTCAGCATAAAAAATGGTGGCAGTGCGAGGTAAGAAAAATGAAGAAAATTTAATAAATTAATTGAATCAAAAAGTCAAAATTTTAATGTTCTTTTGATTCTAAGTGGACATAATGGAATTAAATCGGTAATCGATCATTTGAAAACCGACGTAGGTGTAATTCTATCTTTTTATTTAAAAAAAATCTTAATTCACATAATTTTTATTTTAGGCATTTCAAAGATTAAGAATTGGCATAGGCAGACCTCCAAATGATGATCGATCACGTGATATCGTATCGGATTTTGTTTTGTCACGTATTCCTTCCAATGAAATGGAAATTTATAAAAGTGACATATTTCCAAGATGTAAAGATGAATTATTTAAAGCTAGCATGAATATCAAATAAAGAAATATGATTAAATAAATAAATTAAAAGGTATAATTGCTGGTGATGTCATTATTTATTAATTAAATAATTAAACCCAAGTATTTTCCAATTCGTCTAAAAATGAAAATATAAAATCCTTGTCAATTGGCGATGATTAAAAATAAATAAATTGATTTTATAATGATCAAAAATACTAACCACGTGATTAAACTCATATTATATCTTATCATTAATAGATCCCTTTTTTTTCTTTGCTTTCTCATCTATTAGCCAGGAACTTTTTTTTCTGATACATTGCCTTTTATAGTAATATATTAAGATATTACCAAAAATATTTTAAAGTAAACAAAAAAATGTTGTCTCAAAAACGTTCTAAAAATGTACTTACAAGCCCATATTTTATACCAAAAAATTTTACTAAACCTTCTCAGGATTTATTGATTCGAAAAGATTGTTTTATTAATAATCGACTGTCACTGAATTCACTTAATGCAGTATATTATCCAATAACAAAAAACGATCGTAAAGCTTTTAAAAATCCAAAAACTAGTAGAAATGTGACAGAATTCCAATTTAAAGTATATGATCTTTGCTCTCAGGTAATCATAATTCTTAATTCACTAAATATAATGCTTTAACCTGATATTTTAATCATTTATTTGGTTATATTTATGTGAATAAAATCTAGATCCCTGAAGGTGATATAAATTTACTTATAGAAATGGTTAATATGAATTCTCGAGTTATTATTAACATAAATTGTTCAATATTAAAAAGGATATGTTTCGACATATAGAATGATAGCAACAGCTCTATCATCATCACCACGTGCAGTTGGAGGTGCACTCCGTGTAAATCCTTTTGCTCCTTTACCAGTACCATGTCATCGCGTAATTGCTTCAAATTTTTTTATTGGTGGATTTGATGGTGAATGGTTTGGGCGTGATGATAAATCTCGCAGTAAAAAAGAAAAATATAGAAGTGAAAAAATTGATCGTAAATCGGAAAGATTAGCTAAAGAAGGGATTTTGTTTGATAATGAAGGTTGGTTAATTGAATGGCAAAGATCGTCTCAGATTTTTAATGATTTTGATGTTTCAAAATTATCTTGATCCAAATTCCCTTTTCCCTTTCATATTATAACCTTCACCACTTCTTACATTACCAGTCAATATTGCAAATTGAGTTTAAATAATCAATAAGTTTGCAAGTTTTCTGGTAAAGTGAAAAATAAAAAAACTAATCAAATTAAAGTAACCGAGATAAGGGGGTTTTTTTTATTCACTTTTATTAGTATTATTAATTATTAATTATTTTTTGTTAAAAATTCTATTGTTTTGTTTTGCCGTTGATTTTCTTCACGAAGTCGTTCGACTTCTTCACGTAATGCCATAGTTTCTCCTCGATTTTTTAAAAACATCGTCTCTAATTCCATCTATAAATTGGAAAAAGGCATTTAGAAATTAATCTATAAATATATACGATTATAAAATAACAATAAAAACAAGAAACCTTTTGAATGTGAAACTGTCGTAACAATTCCAAATGCATATTTTGTATATCGTTTCGTAATGATATCCGGAAGTCTTGTAAACATTCATCAACAACGCTTCCAATAACTTGAAGCTGAAAATTTGTTGCTGTGTTTATTGTGTTAACATTTTCGTCAGCAGCTCCATTATGGGTCTTATCATCAATGATGTTTTTAGCGGTAACGTTCTCGTCAGTGGCTCTATTATGGTTCACGTGGTTCTTATCATAAATCATATTTTTAGTATTAACGTTTTCGTCGGCTCCACCATGTTTCACATGGATCTTATCATCAGTAATGTTTTTAGTAACAACGTTTTCCTCAGCAGTTCTACCATGGATCTTATCATCAATGATGTTTTTAGTAATAACGTTTTCCTCAGCAGTTCTACTATGGTTCTTATCACCAATGATGTTTTTAGTAATAACGTTTTCGTCAGCGGTTCTAATATGATTCACGTGGATTTTATCATCAATGATGGTTTTAGTATCAACGTTTTCGTCAGAAGCTACACTATGGGTCACGCGAATCCTATTTTTATCAATAATGTTTCTAGTATTAACGTTTTCGTCAGCAGCCCCATTATGGTTCTTATTATTATCAATGTTATTTTCTGTGCTACTAGAAAAGGTGTCATCGGAAGTGATATCATCCTTAACCACTTTCTTAACTGGCGAAAACATGTCCATGTAATTTTTTCCCTTTGATTCACTAAGGACCGGAGATGATGATTTCGCTGCCACACCCTTCGCTGATCTGTTAGAAGAAGAAGCGGGAAGTGTCGTCCCTCTTGAGGATGTTCTAACATGACTATTCTTATTCTTACTCAAGGTAGCGCGGCGCATGGAAGCACGACCTTTCTCCTAACATAATTTATATAATCTGTAAATATATAAAATATTTGTATAAATGTGTTAAAATTTTACCTGAAAATGTAAACATTGAATAGGCCGAGATTCGCATCCGTTTAATGTACACATGACTTTGTTGAGCGAACGCAAGTCATATATCAAAATCTTGCCTTTATTAAAAAAAAACAGTCAAATTAGTCATAAATTAAGTATTTACATGAATAATAATAACTTAAAGATTATTAAAAACATAACAAGCACTTACCTTGCAGCGTACCAACTGCTATAGTGACACAGTCTGCCCTGTAGGCCAATGACGTCAAAGGCGATTCTGTGTATATATTTTTCAGACATCTTTTATTTTTTGACCATGACAAAAGTCCAAAACATTAAAATTTGATTCAACTCCAAACTGCAACAATTTTTCGCAGAGGAAAGAAAACAAAATATTCAGGATTCTCATATTAACTTAACCTATAAAAGATAAATTGATTACATACTCTTTTTTGCCAACATCATACATAACGATACGCCTATCCATTCCTGCACTTAACAACAAATGTGAATTGGAAGGCGAAAAGGCTATTCCTTTAATCTCTGAGTGATGGGCTTTTTCATATGTCTGTATTGCTGTCGTAGATCCACTGGTATCCCACAATCGTAATGATCCATCTTCACCACCAGCAGCCAACAGACCTCGTTTGACATATGAATATTGCAAAACGTTTATTGGCTACAGCAATGAAAATTAGTTTCAATTAGAATTTAAAAAACTTAAATAAGTTGGAATTGGATCTTTGCATACTTGTTTCGTCAATACAGTTAAATTATTCCGTGAATTGGATTTTTGTCGATTATGAATAATGATGTTTCCATTTAAGGCAGAACTAGCCACAATGGATTCATCCAAATTCAAATCAATACATGTTACAGCACTACTGTGTCCCTAATATATTACAAAAATGGTTTTAGTAAGATTTATTAATACATAATCGATCAATAAAGATTTACCTCCAAAGGCTCAAGAAAACTTGATCCTTTACGATCCCAAATATTAACAATCTTATCAGAACCTCCAAATAAAACATATTGTGATTTATCTGAAAAGCGAAGCGAACTAATTTTTGTGTAATCGTCCTACGAAAGTTAAAGAACCATTGATGTTAACGAACAAGTTCCTAGAAAGCGTGTTGATTAACCGATAGATCCTTGTAACTTACTGATCCATGATTATTCGACGGTATTGTTTCTATGAATGTTCCTTGCGAATCATGTATTGTAAGAGTTCCTTCATTTCCCACTACAGCCAATAGCTGATCTAAAATAATGAAAACAAAAGAATTATAAAAGATTAATTTGCCCTGAACATATCTATGATTCATTAATAATGCGTTTACATTTAACGCATTATGTATACTTACTGTCGTGGTTCCAACGAACTACACCGACTCCAGTTGAAGCATCGTGAGGAGCAAACGAAGAAACTTCAACACCAAGCAATTGTTCTGGAATAATATTCTTTGATGTCTCAATTTCATTGGAATTCTTATCACCAGGTATTGACTTTAAATCCCATATTTTAACATCTTTTGACGCCGAAACTAACAAATTTGCCGACATTTTATAAAATAAACAAATCCTTTAGAAATAACGTGAAAAGTTGAGTATGAAAATAGAAAGGAAAACAATCTACGCGAGTTTTATAGAGTGTAACCTTTAAGGCACGTGATATATATAGCATGACATGAAACTGCACATTTGACATTGCGCGCGTTTCGAAAAATTTATTTTAGCCGCTATTGACTATGACGTGACTTTACTTTAAAAAAATTATTTATACATGGTACATCTTATACTATTCTAAACTAACCTTTATTAGCATTGTTAGTAATATAATTTTCTATTTTATTTAAAGAATTTAAAATTCTAATATATAATATTGATTTTATTTTTTCTTTTTAAAAAATAATATTTGATATTAATTACTTCTATATAATAAAATACTTATTAAGATAAAAAATTGGATTAAATTAAAAATTACTTAGATTTAATATTAACTATATTAATTTAATTTTAATTTAATATATATATTTAAAAAAAAATCATTAAATAAAAAAGATTATTATTGTTAGATTTACTAATTTATTCTTATACTATGATTTATCCTTATACTATGATTAGCTAGAATATTTGAATTATTAAATTAAGGTTAAGATTAAGATTAGGGTTATGTATTAGGTGATTTATTACTAGTGCAATACTAAAAATATTTTAATTTTTATTATATTTTTAAGGAACTTAAAATTTTTTGGTAAATTTATCATGATATTGTTAATATATAATTTTTTCAGATTGCAACTGTTAGATATGATATCTGAGGGTTGATTCTTTTATAGTTTACATATAATTTTAATCAGTTTCATATTAATCTTAGTTATTTTATTACTAGCTTTATCAAATTAGGTTGAGTTTACTAATACAAGTGGCTTTTATCACAAATTAAAATTTTCATAGTAATTACGAAGAGTTTTACATAAAAAAATAAGAAATGCTTTATTGAATAGAAAAAAAATAATAAAAAATAATAAAAATAAGAAAAAAAGAATAAACAAGAGGAATACATAAAGTGAAAAATAACGTTACGCTATCTTTTATAGAAGATTTCTATACAACTATCAGTCTGTTTTTTTAACTTACTAAGAGCTTGTATTTACAGTTAACTCTTATTATAATTATACATTTGGAATATCCTATATTCTGTGACTATGACGAGATGTAACTATAAACAAAAAAAATTTTTTTAATGGTAAAATATAAATAAAAAACTATAAAAAACATATAATATATTAATTTTATTAATTAATAGACAAGTTATTTATTATGTAATTATATTAAGTATATTATTAAAATCAAAATTATATATACAATATTAAAATGTTTTAATTAGAAAAAAAATAATCTTCAATTGATTTTTGTTGTAAAGATGTAATATAATGTACTTTTAAATCTAAAATATAACATCTAAAAACTTTAAAATCATCTATTTTAAACTTATTATAGATAGGTAATTGTTTATAAAGAAGAATTACTTTTTTGATTGCATTAAGTGCTTCCTTTAGTAAAACTTTTAGAATTAGTTCCTTTTTATTATCAATATCAGATGCTTCTTTATCATAATCTTGTATTATGTCTATAATTTGTTTAATAGTCAAAATTTCTTCAGTAGGTAGAGAAGTTTGATTATGAATATAATTTACTAAACTATTTCAGATTTCATTATCAATGAAAATTGTTAAAATTATATCTGAAATTTCATTAACAAATACATCCAATCTTCATTATATTGATTCAGAATTAAAATTAGATATAATTTTGATTTTATTTCAGAAATTGCATATGCTTTGCTGTTCTACACTTTTTCAAGCTTTCACAAAATAATCAATAGCTTATTTAATGTCCAATTTATTTCTATATTAAGTAAATATTAATGATTTTATACAAAAATAACAAATATAAAAAAAATAAAAAATACTTACTTGCATATAGGCTCTTTGCAATAAAAAGTGAGGAAACTACCAAAAAATTTTTTTTTTTGCTTTATAAGCTAAATATTATTTTTTTAATAAAATAAATTCAGATTTAACATTAACTCAAAAAAAAATTTTTTTAGTAGTTTCCTCCTTTTTTATTGCAAAGAGTCCATATATTAGTGCCTTAATCAAATTCTTCAATTAAATATCAAACATATAATTGTTTATATTTGACCTATATTTAATAATTATAAATAAATTCATTTAATAAAACTTTAATTATTATCCAAATTCATAATAATTTCCATTTTCATTTTTAGTAAAAAAATATACTATATCTTAAATTTTTGAATAATTCTATCATCTATTGGTTGAAGTTTTAATATTATATTTGGTAGAAGAAATACAATTCAGATATTGATTATTTTTCCTGTTTGATGAATCATAACTAGTATTCCGCAAAATCAAATCAGATCAGATTTGGATAAAATCTGATTTGATCTGATTTTCATTTTTCAGGATCCAAATCTGATCTGAATCTGACAGATCCATTGAAATTCAGATCTGATCTGAATCTGATGGATCAAATCTTAAATTTGGATCTAACAGATCAGTTTAAATCCAAATCTGATCTGATCTAAATCTAAAATTTTTATTGAAAAATGATTTTTCAGTTCTAAAAAAGTTTCAAAAAGTCGTTTCTTACAATGAAAGAAACCTTTTCAGCTCTAAAAAAGTTCTGAAAAATTATTTCTTTTTAATGAAAAGAAACGAATTTTAGGTTCTAAGAGATCTGAAAATTTTTTCTTTCAATGAAAGAAACCTTTTTAGCTCTAAAAGAGTTCTGAAAAATCATTACTTTATAATGAAAAAAACCTTTTCAGCTCTAAAAGAGTTCTGAAAAGTCATTCCTTTTTAATGAAAGGAAACAAAATTTTCTAAGAGATCTGAAAACTTTCTTTCAATGAAAGGAACCTTTTTGGCTCTAAAAGAGTTCTGAAAAATCATTTCTTTACAATAAAAGAAACCTTTTTGGCTTTAAAAAAGTTCTAAAAAGTCGTTCCTTTTTAATAAAAGGAAATAAATTTTCAGTTTTAAGTAGTCCGAAAATGTTTCCTTTCAATAAAAGAAACCTTTTCAGCTCTAAAAAAACTCTGAATTTTTATTTTTTGATTCTAAAAAGGTTTAATCTAATTTAATAAAATTTTATGCA